TCCATATTGGAGGCTCCAGTCCTTGACCCTCTGCAGCAGGTGCTTCAGGTCCTCTTCATTTTCAGCAAGCAGGTCTACAGTATATAAAAACAACAACAAACTAAAATTGTAACTTTTTCCTTTTTCTTTGAAACACTTTAATTAATAAGCATTCTCCCTATTGTAACAGCCTGTAGAAATCCAGTGCCAAAAATTAAATTTCACAGTTAAATTTCCAAAATTAGCAGATAACCCCAGAAGGTATAATTTTACTAAAAAGCCATAACAAAGCAGAAGTTAATTTATGAAGTCAACACTTACTATAATATAGTTGTTCCATGAACTTTTTAGGTGCAGAAATATCGGTGAGGTTGTGGAAACAATGTACAAATGAAGTTCTGACTCCTTTTTCTCAAGGCTTGGGACACTTTGTAAAAGGGAGGCTTGGAAGGAAGTTCTCAAGTAAAACTCATTTCCCTTCCCAGGACACTTGAAAGGACTTTCACTTGGAGAGTCTTTGTGATCAGCAAGTCCCTGGGGTTCTTCTGTGTTTGTAGAGCAAGCTGGTGAAGTAACAGCTTTGCCTGGGTCTGGCATGGCCGGGCATCTCCTCCTGGGAAGCGTCGGTAAGGGCCGAAGAGGCAGCTTCCTGAGATCTGAAGCAGGATGCAGGGCTGATGCCGTGGATGTGCTGCTCTCTTGGAACCTGCCCAGTAAAACTTAATATTAAATATGATATGGCAAGGTTTGTACTTTCATAACAATAAGAAACAAAAACTAGTGGTCCAATTACACCAACTTTAAGATTTTTAAAACATACTTTCCTTTTTTAAAAATGCTTGATAATGGAAAGAAGTAATATTACTTTCATAAAGAGACATGAAGTCTTGATCAATCAATGAACCTTGAAAATACTTTGGTGAATGAAATGTTAGTAACAAAAGGACAAATATTATATGATACTAGTTTTAAAAATGGTTCAATGTTAGAAACCAAAGTTTATGTTACCAGGAGTGGGAGGGAGAGATAGAGAGAAGGGCAAAAAATGGGAGGTGGGAGGGAGACGTCCTTTCTTCCTGGGCATTGTTTCTGTCAATGGTGGAATCATTTGAAGAGGAGAGTGGGAATAATTGTACAATATGGTAAATATAATTAATGTCACTGAATCATAACTGTAAAAACTGTTGAACTGGCAAATGTTTGGTAAAGTGTGTTTTTACCATAAGGACACATGCTGTAGAGGTAAAGAAGCTATAAAATGTAATTAGATCTTATTTCCAACCCCAGCTCTACTATGTCAGGTTAAAAAAAAGCACTTTTTACATTTAAATTATTTTACCTTTTCCTCTCAAACCCCAAACCTACTAAATCCACTCAGAACTGTCCTCCATTTGGGGGTTTCTGAGGCTGTAAGTCTTAATGGGAGCAGAATGTTTCCTCTGGAGCTGCTGGTGCTGCTGGTGGATTCAAACTGCCAACCTTTTCATTAGCAACCCAACAAATTACATACTTCCCCATTAGGGCTCTTTCTTTACCCTTCATGGCTCTGGAAAATCTGTATTCCAAGATATTGGCATTCTCTTTTGCATTTCTTCTTTTTAAATTCAAATTCTTCTATAGAATCTTTGATCAGATGTTCAATAATGTTAGCCAGACACCACCCAGTTCCTTCTGATCTCATGGTAAAGGAGGCAGCTGTTCATGGGAGCAATCCCCTCACATTCCATCTTCCCACCACTACTCACTCATTGCAGTAGGACCATTTGAGTTGGGCCAACTCAAATTTTACCCTCTAGTGGGTTTTCAAGAGATTGTTAATTGTACAGAAGAAGAGTGCCCCTCTTACTCTTTCAGAGCTGCTGGTAGATTCGAACTGCAGGAGAAGGACCATCTTTGGGTTAGCAGTGCAACACCCTATCAACACAACAGAGCTCTGGGGTGCTGGTGTTGATGTGTACTGTTGAGATAGAACCAATCCATAGCTGACCCTTCAGTGGATTTTCAGAGGCAGTAAATCTCATGGGAGGAGACTGCTCATCCTTCTCCTGTGGACAGCTCAGTTGTTGTTGTTGTTATGTGCC